CTGGTGTCGTTTCGTCGCAGTGTTTCCTCGCGGTTCCTCCACTTATGGTTGTGATCTCGGATGCACTCTTCTTCTTTGTCCATGACGCCGTCCATGCGGTCCCACATCTCCTTTATAAGTCTCAGCGTCTTCTCCCTGTCGCCGCCCGTGTCGAGGTTGACAGGCTTGGTCTTGCCACCACACCTCTTCTCGCAGTCCTCAAGCCTGCGTTTCAACAAGTCGCACTCCCGCTTTCTCCTGTCCCTGAGCCGACTTTCCTCCCGGGCAGATTGGTACATCATCTTCAAGAGCTGGTGGATGATGCGGTTGACGTACGGTGCTTTCACGTACTCCCGCCCCTCCATGAACTCCATGAGCGAGGAAATCATACCGTCCGTGGCTATCGTCTGGTCAAAGAGGGAGTAGTAGTCTGCATCAGACATGGTCTCGCCCGTCTGCCATTCGAATTCGGCCTTGCGCCGGGCAGCTTCTTCGTCGCGGCCGTAATCGGGATAGCGATGGGCACGAGAAAGAAGGGTCACGCGGGTTTCTTGGTTGAGACTGAACAATTTCTTGTAGGTCTCTATGGTTTCCTGAGACTCGTCAACAGGCAGACGTTGCGGGCGTATCCAAACATGGGGGCGGTTTGAAGCGTCGGGATTTGGCTCAGGAGCAGGCCGGCCATGGAAACCGGGTCCATCGCGGGGGGGTTCCGTTTTGAATGCTTTCAGTGTCGGCGAATTCGGATCTGGGAAGACCGGCCTCTGCGGTTGCTGGGCTGTGGGTGTCTTCTCGCTGTCGCCCGAGGTTTCGAATGGTCCATTGACATCTATCAATGAGTCGGCCGACTTCTTCTGCTCAAGAGTTGGTCCACGCCATGGAATGGATGTTTTTGGGTCCACAGACGTAGTTCTCGACGCAGGCATAGGGGTTGCCTCAGATGACCGGGATGCGGTGGCAGAAGACTGCTGGCCCTCGACATTTTGCTTCCACAGACGGAGTACAGGTTTATTCGAAGGCTTCTCCGATGAAGGCTTCAGAGGATTCATATTAAAGTCCAACTTCCGCTTCTGGTCAGATCCTTGGCCGGAATTTCTCGGTAAAGGGCCGGGGCTAGCAGAAATGTCAATCAGAGGGGGGGTTGCAGTTGACGACTGACGGTCCAGATTCCTGGTGGAAGAGCCATAGCTGGCAGACCTGGGGGCGATGGCAGGTCCTGGAGGATTTTCAGGAGGGGTGGAGTTGAAAATGGAGGGCGAATCATTCCTTAGAGAAGCATCCTTAATCGGTGTCTGATTTGATTCCACAGGACGAGCAGGCAATGGTTTGTTCTGTGGGTGGTGGCCGCTGCTCTCTCGTGATGAAGGAAGACCGGCTGAACGAGCTGGCGACTCATCCGGACGAGGAGGCAACGGCTTGTTTTGCGGGTGTTGCCCACTGCTCCCCCGTCTGGAGGGAACCGAAGGCGAAGGCAGCGGTCCAACGGGCGGGTGCCCCCTGCTGCTGTCCCGGCTGGATGATCCAACTTCTTTGCGGATTATAGTCTGACTACTGGTTTTTCGGAATTGAGGAGGAGGTATTTGATCGTCGACATGACTGCTCGTGACTGCTTCGGAAGTGCTCCTACGAGGCTCTCCCGACTCTGCGCCGGATATGCTTCTTCGACTCTCCCTCGGCTGCCCCTGAGCTGCCTCCCGAGACTCACTAGGAGCTGTGTTTGATGGACCTGACGGATTCGCATCAGACATTGCCCGTCTGTGGGTAAAACGTCTTGGTCTAGACGATGGACGTGGCCAGTGGAATCTGCCGGCGCCGGTGTCGTCGGGGCTGACCGTCTCAGATGCTGGCACCTCTTTCCGAGAAATCGGAGCTCTTGACGAACCAGCAACTGCGCTACTTTCCTGGACCATTTCGGACCGCGCAGCTTGGCGGGACGTTCTTCCATCGGAAGTTGCGTTCACAGCGACATCATTGGTGTTGTTGGCAGAGGCGTTGGTTCGTATGGTCAAACGATTGTCGTTAGGGAAAGCCTCCGTATTGTCTGATGCTGGCCGAACATTGCGCCCGCGGTTGTCCTCTGAGCTTCTCCGCCTCTTAGAATCGCCCATATCGGGTTTTCTACACGATACTGAAAGCAAGAATAATGAAAGGAAAACGCAGTGACGGAGAGACCTTAAGGAGAAAGAGTATCTGTCTGGGGAAAGTAAATCTCCGAGTATTCCTCCCAGTCTCGGGCGTTTATGATCATTATCAACTTCAGTAGCTCTCAGACTCTCACTCATCTTAATTCAAGCTTTCCGCATTATCTTGTGGTGATACTGGCCATACAGACGCTTTCGGTGGAAAACTTTCTCGAAGGGAGACCCGACCTTCAAAGAGTTCAATGCCCTTGCTGCAGATACAAAGAAGCATTACTGAGCATTGGCCTGGCAAGACCTGGGATAGCGTCAACAAAGGCTGGCGACATGGAAATAGAGACAAGTGACCGTCCGTGACTCTGAATGCTTGATATTTCCCACCTAAATAGAAGGCATGATTATAGCCTCTCATCTCCCATAGCGAAATACCCCACCATCTCATGGTCTGAATATAGCGTCATGTTGGTGTCGGCGACCGATGGACAGAACCTCTGCCCCGTACAGATCTCAGATCAGGCAAACTCTCACGGCTTCCAATGACCTCGCCGCTTCCATTCAGGAGCAGGTACATCCCATCAGTACTCTCGTCGGACTGGGTTCCATCAACTTCGTCGATTCTGCCAGGAGTCCTCTCGTCCAACTCGAAGCGCACCATCCTCGCGCCTTTCCTCTCCATCATGCTCTTCTTCCTCTCGGGATCGCACTCGTCTTCAATCCTCATCATTTCAAGACACTCTCGCGTGAGGCCCTTGATGTCCGTCCCCGAGAACCCGATGCCCATTACGCTTGCCGCGCGGATATACGCCTGCCAGGCAGCGCGCCAACGACCCCATGCTCGCAATACATGTCCACGGTAAAGCTGGGCGCGGGGTTCAAGGTCGAAGCGTCCAAAATTTGTCGCAATCGCAAGGGCTTTGTCAGCGGCTTCAAGCGCCAGGCGCAGGGTCGCGCCCGTCAGGGGCGTCTGCAGAAGGGCGTAGGTGCGAAGGAGGAGGGTATTGACGGTTTGTGTAACCGGGGCGATGTCTGTTTTCAAGCAAGGATTCATTGGCGGCTGGGTATGATTTGTTTGCTGAAGGGCGCCTGTTTGGCTCCAGAGGAATGCTTTTCGCTTCCGATCTTGGATGAAAACGGTCGTGCTGGTGTTGAGGTGAGTGTGCACTGCCTCGGAGTTTGTGGCGTTGAGAGGGAGTGTTCTCCCTTTGGAGGAAACTTCTGGCAGGAACGTCCGATTTCAGACCCAAGGGGGTCCTGAAAACTAGCTTCTCAATGATGGAACCTGTAGTTACAAGTTCCAGAGCTTTTTGTCGAAATTCACGACGACAAAGGGCGTTACTGTAAGAGGCAGAAACGTTGAGGTAGGAGCCCTGGCCTGAAGTCAGCTCCACGTGAACAAAGAAAGAGCTATCACGTCCTTATTTCCTCCCCGGCCTCCCTAAGCTCACGGTTGTCATTTGGGCGCAAAAACGGTTACGGAGCCAAGGCTTCAGTGGAATGAGAAAAAGCTTCTATTCAACATTCGAGAAGGTCTTGCAATTGTCGGTGGCAGATAGAGTGACGCAAGGATTTGGAATCGGAAGGGAAAGTACCGATATGGATCAACAACACCCGCATCCGTCAAGGGGTACGGAGTGCCAAGACCGCCGAATGAAGCTTTCTCTGCGATGAGAGAATGGAAAAGTATGTGGGATACCGGTGACTTTTAGGAGGTGGCTGAAGTATCCAAGATGTTTCCGTACCTAGCTAGTGCTTTTGTCTGCTTGTATGGTCCGATGAGTCCAGACCGGGTGTTTTTTTCTTATGGTGCAAAGACCGTTGGATGTCAAAATAAGGTCTCGGCAAATGGCAGCTGTCAGATCAAGAACTTCCCGTCTGAATAGATTAAGAGACGAAGCTGAGGGAAACGATGTACTTATGCCGCCCCTTCAGCGCCATCTGAGGAAGCAGTTGTCGCACTTGACGTATGTAAATGCATCAATACGGATGTTTAAAAGCTTTGATCATCATACCGTCCATCGTTCCGTCGTTCGTACAGATGCAGTGACATGCATTCCTCGGTGACATCCGTTGCAGCTTTGGGGCTGTGCTTGAAAAGCGTCAAGGCGTCTGCGTCTCGACACCGAAATTTACACCTAGACGAAAGCGTCCTGTTCAAACTAGGGTCCAGGCCAAGATTTAACCGTAAGCGCGAGGTTCTATCGGTTGCCAAGACGTCCGTTACTGTAAATTAGCAGGCCAGTGGCCAAAAATGCTCATGGCGCTCGGGTAAGCAGAGCTCCTGGAATGAGACATGCCGAGAGCAGCTGGTGTCGCCCACGGACTGGCGATAATAATAATACGACATAGACACGCCGAGATCGAGGACTTGATTCTTATTGTGGGAGGTGACTCAGTGGCGGTACCGTAGAAGTCATAGAAGCCCCAAGTGTTCGATGCATTGCCCTCAACGACAGCAACATATGCTTACGGAGACTTCACGTGGCAACTTACATTGAGGCATGTATTTCTGCATTTGGCATACCATGCCAGTGGGCACCTGTGTTCGGGGTCGGCGGTGTAAGTGGCGTTCGGCGGTTGTCGGCGAGGTGTCCGGCTGGCCACCAAGGTTTTCCACGTTCTGGATCTCATCTTTCCTAGCTGAAGAGGAAAATACCCGTCACTTTGTGCCTTACCATCCGTCGCATTCAAAGTGGCTTGGCGTGTCTCTGCTCTTCAAGAAACCACAATGATCTCTTGCCGTTTCCATGCTCCACGTGATGTAAGCTGGCTGAACGTTGGTCTCTGCCAAATCTCTCAAAAACAGCCACCCCCCGGATAACCGGCACAGAGTCTTGATATTGGGAAGTGCTGAGTGGTTTAGATCACTTCGAAGCTGTCGACAAGATGGTTCACAAGTGGGTCGAAGGAGGCCAAAACGACATGGTCATTCCCAGTGACTCCATGCTATGGCACCCTAACTCGAAAGGGCACCATATCTACAACCTGAATTTGGCCTTGATCATTTTCTCAACGGTTTTCATATCGTTGCGGTTGTATGTTCGAAAGGCTATCGTCAAGGCTTTGGGATGGGATGACTTCCTCGCGGTTCTAGCATGGGTATGTTCACAAACTCGTACCAGATATCACCGACTAATCCTCCATGCAGGCGCTCTGCGTGACTCTTTCCGCCCTGGAGATGGATACCACCCATTACGGAACCGGCGCTCAAATCGAAGATGTACCCAAAGATACATTGCTACAGTTTCAGAAGGTGGGCTGGTGATTGTTGCAGTTGGGTTGACAGAAAGCTGACGGAGCGTGATAGAGACTCACAATCATGGAGCTAGTGTACCTTATTGCATCAGGAGTTGTTCGGCTGTCAATTCTAGCATTTTTGCCACGACTGTGCAAAGCCAGTACGCTTGCTCTACCATCGCTTGGTCAATTCGATGCTGATCATCGTAACAGAGATTTACACCTGGAGCATATGGGGACTTAGGCTCATCGTCATCATCATCAGCTTGACGGGGTTCTTCTTCATTCTGACAGAATGCCAGCAAATACCGTGAGCACCTCCTTTCCAAAGCATTCCTATCCCGACTAAACACGAGACTATAGCGAGGTATTCAACTATGCAAGTACATGGCGAGAATGCAAGGACAAGCGAGAAGAGCGGGATCTGATGATGGCCCATGCAATTATCTGCATTTTTGTCGACTGCATGCTGGTTGCCCTCCCCCTTTGGGTGGTGACAAGTTACTTCAAGATGGGAGTAAAGTCGATTCAGATCCTTCTTATCTTCTCGCTAGGCATCTTCGGTGTTGCCACCGGCATTGTCAGGTTTGCCATAATCACGACGACAGACTTCACCGTGAACACGTACGTATTGTCACTGCTGTCAGACCGAATGAGCGTGATCTCTGACTTCTTCCAGAACATATAAGATGCTGTCTGTCGCTGCCTGGACGGACGCTGAGCTCCACGTTGGTCTCTGGGTAGGATGCTTCCCAGCGCTGCAGCCCTTGTTGCGGCATGCATCATTCAAGCTGGGCTTGCGCAGTCAACTTGACTCGACCAAGCCCAGCAGGAAGAGCGTCACGGGGATATCTACGGATGAATCGAAGAGAAGAAGTGTTCTAAATCGCTGGTCAAGAATCACAGGACACCCTCCGAAGGAAGGTGTGGAATCCGGGGCGCCTGCCGTCAATGGTCAACACGAAAACTTTGAAATGGTTGATTTGGAGAAGGGGGACGAGGCCGTTTCTGAACGAACAGAAGGTTCGGCTAGCATGATGCCAGAGCAGGCTGATAGAAGGGTTGAGGAAAGAGAGACTGAGAGTGGTAGACCGCGTACCTAGGCAGGAGCTCTAGAAATTGGGATACTCCCTACCCAAGGATCCGTTCGCTGTTTCCATACCGGGAATCTGAAATTACCTACGTGAGACGATAAAAGGAAAGTGCCAAGCTAGGCACCTTCTCAAGCCTTGCTCAACTTTTGGCTCGCGCCTTCTCTCCTAGGGATCTTTCCCAAAATTGGATAGCCAGCCGTCACTTTCGCAAGCCATTACCGTTTCTCAGGAGAGAGCAGAAGTCAGTCTCTACCTTACCTCAAACAACACCAAACAACACCCTGCCAGTTCAACATCAGCAATACCAATATGAGTGACGGGGTCGCCACAGGCAAAGGTCTCTCCTTACGACGGACACTCCCCCCCGAGGTTTTCCTACTCATCATGGAAGCTTTCCTCGACGAAGCAGAATCCAGCTCCGCGAAGGAATCATGGTTGCTGGGCGCGTACAGATATCTAAGAGATCGCCACAGATTCATTATCACCAATTTATCACGGCGTCCAGATTCCGATAAACTTCAGAAGAGCCGCTTTCTCGGAGTTCGACCCGTCTTCCACGTCAACCAAAAGACACGAGCCATGGTTCGCAACAGGTTCTCGCCTTTGACAGGAAGTCGCCCTGCGATGATCCACCCCGCAGGCCTTCTTGTCTTTCCGAAGATTGACTGTATCGAGCCCCTCTTCGGCGGGTTTTCTCCCCAGTCTATCGAATCGATCTTGCGTACCCAACCTCGCCACGTTGCAAAATTTCTCCAATCTTTCGAGACAATGTACGTACCCGGGTTTCGCACACTGTATAAGGCTTCGGACCCTTTATTCGGATGTTGGCCTTTTATGTTTCCGAAACTCAGGACTATCTTGGTGGCAACATATCATATCACAAAATCCCGTCTGCACGAGCATCTCAAGATTCATAACCACGATGAGCTTCGGCTTCTTGACACAGACACGTTCTCATCCCTATACGATTGGAAGCAGTTCGAGTTCAATCCTGTTGCACCTACACTGAAGCCAATTTGGGAGAAAAAGGTCCGTCTAGTCGGCACAGGACCATTACTAAACTCGAGAACACAAGGAGTCATGGAACTGGTCCAGACGTCACAGGGATTGCGCATGCGCATATTGGGTCCCGAGTGTCCTAGTTGTCAATTTTAAATGTCGGTCGGTACGAGAGCTGAGGCGATTGCGTGACCATGGGTACGTGCAAATTCCCAAGCCATGATGGGTGCTCATGCTAAGTGACATGAATTAGGTCACGGGCACTTACTGGGATGAATATAGCGGTAAATGGAACACATAACATTATCTTATGGGGAAGGTGGTCCTATGCGCCGCTGTTCATCAGGTTCGAGAGGGAAGGCCGCCGAAAGGGAATACCTACACTGAGATGGGTGAACGAAGGGCAAAGTCGTAATGCGAGGAGCTATTCACTAAAAAAAACATGTACTTAGATCGCGCACGGACCATTTTCGCTTCCTTGTCGCTGCTTGCTCCGCAATACTACCTAGAACACCACCTTCATTTGGTGATCGTCATTTTCATTCGCTTCAGCATTCTCAAATCTAGCAGTAGAAGCGCTCTACAAACGCGAGTTGAACCTGCTACTAGTCCATACACTCAGCATTCATCCCCTTGTCGGTTTTAAGATAGTAGTAATCAGTGCCAAAGAACCTACTTCAGAGCAACTTCAACCTCTTTTTCTCGCCAACGCCCGACCAGCGCTGTTCCTTCGTCACACACCAATACGAATCTAACGACTGAACCTCCAGGATTCGCAATGGCGGCGTTTTCCAAAAGTCACTACTTGGCACAGGCACGCGGCTTGGGGCCTGCCTGGACGGTATTGTTCTACGGCGTTCCCCTGACCAACATCGCCATCCACATCGCCTGGTTGCTTGCGCTTCACCCTGCACTCGCCTCGATACCCTTGCCGTTCAGTCGGCAACGCCTGAGGGATTTCCTCAACAAGAACTTCATGCTCAGGCCTAGCAACCTTCAGCCGATCACTCTAATCACCTCGGCCTTCAGCCACATCCAGCCCCTTCACCTGTTTGTCAACATGTCAACATATAGCACGTATGTCAAACATCTCTATGCGAGAGGAACGTCGCCGCTTCGGTTTGCTTTACTTGCTCTAGGAAGCGGCATCGCCGCGAGCGCGGCTTTTGTGTGGAATTCGCAGCGCCAGCGCCCAAGGAAAACCGCTGAAGAAAGCACCGCTGTTGGAGCCAGTGGGGTACTGACGGGCCTCGGAATCGCCCTGGCCGCCATGTATCCGGCTATGAGAGTCCGTCTCTCTGGGACGAACATCGTGCTATCTCTGCGCGAAGTATCTCTGGCGATGTTTGCCGTGGATATCTTCTGCCTTGGCACTCAAACCGAGACCGGCGTGGGGCATGCCGGTCACATTGGGGGCGCGCTCTTCGGCCTGCTGTATGCCTTGGAGAGGAAGTGGTTAGGTTACCGGAATCTGTGAGAAAGATTCGATGGGGTCACAGCACACGACGGCGTCACATTATCATCAGCGCCACCTTTTCGTCAAGCAGTTCAAAGGATTGTAACTACCGAAACTGAGATCAACTCTGGCCACCCGATCCAAGCACAGGAATGGAGTTTTCCGGTATATAAAGCAACAAATATCCACCAATGTCAATAAACGCCACGCTACCGCAACGAGAGGATATCCCATTTAGACACGTCAACTCCCGTTTCCAAAAGAACAAAAAGCCGCCGCTGATACCGTCTCCTCACCACAGAGACTCGCTATTCACCATCGGATTCTGACTCGAACGATTGCTATTTCGCTTCGGCGACGGCTGCCCCGCCTGTTGAGCCCTCTGGAATGGCGGACTGTGTTTTGGTGACGGTTGATTCGTCTGCTGAGACCTTTGCAAAGGTGGGCTATGGTGAGGCGTCTCCAGATTATAGTGTTCAGCGATTGGGCTCGGATACGTCACCGACCTCTCGCCAGGACTGCTGGCAATCTTTGTATATATCGCAGACCTTTCACCAGGACTACCAGCAACCTTGCTCGCCATCGTGGAGTCTCGCAAGGGAACTGGTCCAACGCCAACCGGTGACATCTTCTTCTCCGGAAATCTCGAAGCCGTGAAGCCAGGCTGACGGGGGCCCTTGTGTCTATCCCATGGGGCGGTTGGTGAATGAAGAGGCGATGGTCCTCCTTGTCGACGACGAGATCGAAGAGACTGGCGGCGGAGCCTCGGGGATGTGAGACCCCAAGCGCGGCCGAACGCCGCTCCGGGGTGGTATATGCACAAGGCAATACACACAAGAAACGGCAGGGCGCCGCTGATAATGAGAGATGCCACCTCTGTCCTTGTGAGAGGGCCGCCGAGGCCCTCTCCATACTCGACGAGACGGTAGATGGTATGTGCGATCAAGACCACAGCGAGTGGCGGCATAACTAGGAATCGATCAGCTTGATGCTTGGTTTCTTGAGAATCTGGTTGGCTCACTCTTCACAAAGTGCCTGAACCTCGGCTGTTGGTATACTGCAATGTGCTTTGGGTCGGGGATCTTCTGGGTGAACCAGAGGTACAAGCCGATGAAAAGCAAGAGTGCCGCAATTTGAACGCCCAGGCCTGCGAGGAGGATGGTAGTCGACTGTCACACTTGATTAACATCGGAACGTGGTCTGCACATGATGCACTCATACCTGAACACCACCAAGTCCAAAGACGGCAGCAACGACACCGGCAATCTCCAAAGCAACGACGAGAAGTAGAGCAAAGACAAGGGACAATCCGGCGACTCTGGGACGGGTGAAACCGATACCGAGACCATATAGAGCCACGACGTGAGGAAGTACTTGACAGAGCGATGCCGAGATCAAGGTCGGGCCGAGTATTGAACCCAGAAGCCATAACGTGAAGGATGCCTCGCTGGCGACGTTGTTCTTCAGCCTCAGCCTTCCGGCGAATCCCAAAACCTCCAACAGAATACCCGTGGCCAAAGTCGAAGCGAAGAGAGGCGTCTTGAAGCGGTAGCCTTGGAAGAAGGTCAGCGGCACCAGCAGCGCAAAAGCCGCCAAGAAGATGGCGCTGCCAACTGCCGAAGGCTCATAGTCGAGGAAGCCTCCTCGGAAGGGGCAGTTTTCGTTGCAGTCGCCTGTCATTGTGTCCTTGTTCTCACTTGACAGGCGACAGTGGCGGTCCCTTTACCACTGTTTGGTCGGGCATGCCTGGAGGAGAGAGGAGGGAGGCGGCAAGGAGAAGCGCGCCGGGCTGTTGGGATATATACACGGCAGGCTGGCCATCGGGATTTGCACAACTGGCGGCCGAACCAACTCCAGCAAGCAGACACAACATTCAAGCAGGCACAAAGGTCAAGCATTTCATTCCAGCAGGCTGGATCTGCGGTGGCCGCTGCGGTTGAAGGATACGGTCGATTGTGGATGGCTCCGGACACGCGATGAAGGAGGCGGTCCGACGGGCAGAAGTGGTTCACGCAGGACAGGCCAGGGTCAATTCAAAGGGGCACACCATCAGCTTCCGCGGTTGCATCCGATATGGATTACATCCACTTCGGAAGAGACGTCGTACCAACAGCAGCTTTCTTCAGTCAAACTCGTCCCAACTGATGCCGTTCAGTGACTGGCACAACGATGACCAGGGGCTGCTTAGAAGAGCACTTTGACGCCACTGTCAGACGCCAATGTGCAGAAACAGCCAGCGAGAAGGGTTTCAACTGCCGTGAAGGAATTGAAACCACACAGCTTGGCCGCCAGAGCAGCAAGCAAGCAGGCACGCATTCAAGCAAACAATGTGTGCGGGTGCGGTGGGCGAGGAGGGAGGCCAGGCGGCCGTCCCAGCGGAACGGTTCGACGGTGCAACGGTTGGAAATGTTTGCAGATCAAGACCCTCTCCAGAGCCAGGTCACGGACCAATAACCAGCGGACGGCTGGCGGTTGCGGGCTGTTTATCCAACGGGCAACGCTGGCGGGGAGGTTACATTGGCTGGTCATTCTGCGAGGCCCATGTTGGTCCATGTCGGCCGGTGAGGGTGAGCCAGGGGGCCCAAGAGAAACTCCCGTCCAATAGCGACGGCAACCGTCACTTCCTCACCTGGCCCTACCGGCCAGCTCAGGGAGGTCCCAACGCTGTTGGCTCTCAGCCAGTGCTTGCTGTCGAAAGCTTTGCTACGCCGCACAATCTGGGTTGGGAAGGTGTAGGTTGGGGGCTGGAAAACAAGTAGCAGACCACGACGTGTCTCTGAAGCGGGGAAATCGGCCAACGGTGGACTTTGATTTGCGAACGCAGAACATCTTGCGGGCGGGGGTGGTGGTGTTGCGGTTGGGGAAGCCTGAATTTGTTTTTCCCTTTCCCTTCTCTTTCCCAGGTGCCCTTGCTGGTCTTGTGTAGCCTGGGGCGCGGACATTACCAGCCCATTACAAAGAGATGAAGAGATGAAGAGAGCACAAGATGGAGGGGGAGAAACAAGGTGACCAGGGACGCAAGAGGGATGACCCGAGATTTGCTCTCCCCCTCCAAGTCCGGTCATGGCAGGTGCAGTGCTACGGACTGTGTGCGCACGCACTGCAGGCTGCATGATGCACTTATCCATCCATCCATCCATCCATCCCTCCTCCAACAGCAATCTCATTACCTTTTACTCTTTTAAAGAGATGAACCGGGACACTGACCAGATGCTGCCCTGGGTGGCCTTGAAGGATGAGGCCCAACCAACAAGTGCCATGCAGTTGCTAATCATCCTTGGCCAGCTCCCCTGTCTAGGCAGGAAGCTCTGGCCTCCCGGTGGATAGTGCGGGAAGCCCATCCACTGAGCACCCTAGCGTCCGCTGTAGTCGGTGGGTCGTCGGCCGAGAGAACCAGAGACTCCCGCGATCGCGCTAAGCCTCTCTGGCCGCGGTCTGCATGACGTCAAAACCCGGGCGCTTAAACTCCTTGGCGAGAAACACGCCTCCTATCAACGCTGTTAGGACCTTCCAGTCGCATTCACTACCACCACGCGTTTCTTCCTTCGTTTCCGCCGCCCGTCGCACCCAGCCCGCCCGCAATTCTTTCCTCCAGGAACTCACACAGTATTCATACACTGGTACTTTGCGCGGCACCTTACGTCTAGTCCAGCCTTCACACCCACTTGCCCGCTTAAAGCCCTGCCCCGCGAGCCGAGAC